TTGTGTAGTGCTGGTGGGAGTGTAAATTCACGATTTTTATAAAAACATTTTTTACATTCTTTTTAGGTGAAATCCTAGTTTTAAAATTATGAATTCTAAGTATTAGAGCTAGAGTAGCAAGGAGGTAAAAGATGTAAATGTTGCTCTGAAAATCTAGGTATCTGGTATATAATTAGAATGTTCTAAAGTTCACTCACCCAGATCACTAGGACATTTCAGGTTGCAGTGGATAGAGATCTTAACCAATGGTGATAAAAATATTTTTCTACATATTTTGTGAAGACATGACCAGGTAGAAGCAACATACATGAAATCAGTTCTGGCTAGGTTCCTTGAAGATACTTTGTACAGATGGCATGGGTGTAAACAGTGACACTGAATTTTTTATGTTGATGCTTCTATAATTCAGGGAGCCCTCTAAGGAAAATAACGTAATTGTGAATACTAAATTAGATGTAAAAGTGAATGTTTAAAGAAAAAACGTGATTTTAAAAAATCGATAATAAAGTTAAATTTAATTACAGTACCTACATCAGAGCTACAAAGTTCCATTCAACAAGTGATGTACCTATGTATTAATAATTGATACATTTTTACTGCATACTCATATGATGACTTTGTAGTGTTTTCAGTAAAATGGACAATTCCATCGTGACCAAAATATTTTTTGACATGGTATCTGCTTTAGGTTAGTGCCCTACAAGTGGAAATTCAGAAAAACTCGTGTGTTCAGTTACCATCACAAAGGGAAAATATAAAGTTTCTAAATCTACGGTATTTTATTTTTATTTTTTTTAAAGATTTTTATTGGGGAATTGGAGGGATGGGAACAGTGCTGGGGAATTGGGGGAAGGGGAACAGACAAGTTGCTATCGTTTTGTTCTTCAGTCTAGTTGTGGAGGACGTTGCTTCACTGGCCCAAGTTGGCACCATCATTGCGCTCTTCCCGGGTGAGGCACATCAGTCGCCGGNACATTTAAAAAAAAATAAAGAAAGAATCCAGGTGCCAACTATGTAATTGTTCACAACAGAGAGAGCTAAAATGCCCAGGAACTTAGACTGAAAACCATTTATATGACTTGCTTGCCATTTTTCTCTTAGGCTGTGATCTGTCTCCTAGGCTGCAGTATGGCATTGCCAGTTCTCCCACCCCCCCCTACCCCCGCTATTTAGTCATTATATAACTACTTGTTAGGTTCCTGCCCTTGAGGTGTCCCTAAGTCTAATGAGGAAGACAAACTCATTAACAACTAAATATAGTACAGTACAGTGATTACTGAGTAGTAAAATTTTGTACACAGGATGCATTTTACCATTAGAACTCTGATGAGAGAGTAGTTTATCATCATCTGAAATTCACTATGTCCAAGATTGAACTTGTAGTTTCTTAAAACTATGTCCTTCTTTTGACTTTCCTATTTCTGTCAATGGTATCTTTATTCCTGTGATGCCTTCTTCTCTCTAGCAATTCATAACCAATAAATCAGCAAATCCCATTGATTTTCCTTGTTACAGTTCTTCCGGCAGGTATCCCCTTTTGTTTTTCTAGCTGCCACTCAAACCAATTCAAGGCCTTATTTTAAATCACATGTACTTTGCTAGAGCAGTGCTTGTATTTGTGTTCTGGTCTTTCTGGTTGGAAGCTCTTGAGGTTACTTGAATAACTCCCTGAAAATCCCTTGGTTGTTTTTTAATCAGATACCTGTGTGCATAGGGCCTAACTTCAGATTTCTGGGGTTTTTTCCCTCCCTGATTTTTTTATTTTCCTAATTTTTATATCCAGTTTAAAATGGTAGCTATTTTATGTTTGTTTTGATTGGCTTTTGTTTAGTATTTATTATTATTTTTTTTAAGATTTTATTGGGGAGTTGGGGGAGGGAAACAACGTTGGGGACTTGGGGAAGGGGAACAGACAGGTAGACAAATTGCTCTTTTGTTCTTCAGTCTAGTGGAGGATGTTGCTTCACTGGCCCATGTTGGTATGATCATTGCACTCTTCATGGGTGAGGGAATCAGTCGCCGGTCATTGGTGGCTGCTCATGGCAGCTCTCGGTGGCTCCCAGCAGCTCACGCTGGCTGCTGGCTGCTCACATAGCTCATGGCAGCCCACTGCAGCCCCGCTGCAGCCTACGCCGTCGCTGGCGACTCAGAGTAGCCCAGCTCCAGGTCGAGCTGTTGTTCATCACCTTAGCTGTAGAGGGTGCAGCGTCACTGGCCCTCAATGTGGGATCCAAACCGCGGCCCTGCTGCTCAGAGTTGGTGCTCCCCAGTGAGCTCTTAACCAACTGAGCCACTCGGCCAGCCCTTGTTTAGTATTTTTTACTTTACTAAATTTTATAAATTTTTTGGAGGCAGGGGATTATAGCTCTTAGTTCACTTATTAAATATCCAGGGTACATAGATGAGTCATGTTACATGTTATCCTATAAAATATTGAAAATGTAAATACATTACCAACTTGCCCTTATACAGTTTTATCATGAAACAACAAAATAGAATAAGCAGCAAAGAATAAACATTCAAAAATTTAAAAAATTTAATAATGTTTTCAATTAATAATTAATATTTTAATATTTACATTGTAAACTACTTGCAATGTGATTTCTTTTTCTAACTAAAGAGCTAATCAAACCTCCTGAAAATTTCCTTTTATAATAAAAAAAACTAAAATATTTCTTAAAACAACTTCTTAAAAACATGAATAAAGTGACAAGAATCTAAGGAATTCTCAGGCTGGAGAATGAGTAAAGACAGGACCCAGGGGCAAGGAGAGCAGTTTTTGACCTGCAGGAATTGCTTAACCAGGTAAACATGAACTTTAGATTTATAGCTTCCAGAGTTAAAAGGAATGAGAGAAAGTGCCCAGTCCAGTATGAGAAGTCCAGTAGGGGATTACTCGATAAACCTGAAATCCCAAAGGAATATTCTATAAAGATGAATAGGAAATAATCTTACACCCCCCCAGGAAAATCAGCTATCTTCAACCTTCGCACTGATTTGGGGGAGAGTGAGTGGGAGGGGGGAATCACTACAGAGTTTTTGAAACCACAAATCCTCCCTTAGGTTGTAGCCTAAATTCCTATTACTTGCATGATTTGAAAATTTAAAGCCAATAATTAGTGATTCCAGGGTGGTGGAGCCCCAAAATGCCTGGCAGAAATCCTTTCCAGAGGTACTTAATCTTCATGAGGTCTAAAAGAATGTCCCAAAAGAAATTCTAGGGGAAATGAGCAGCTAAACCACTAACTCACAGAGACACTCGGCATTATGAACAAGAATAGTAGACAGCAGCAATAATCAGAATATGGATTTTTTTAGTCCTGATCTAAAAAAGCTATTTAGCATGTATAAGAAAATATAAGAAAGGCTAGAAAATATGTACAAGGAACAAGAAACTAAGATTAGCCAAGCAGATCTGAAAACTAACCAAACAGAATATTGAGAAATGAAAAGTAAAATAACTGACATTTAAAAATTGATGCATGATAGCTGTGGGAAGACTGAATATTGATTTAAGCAAAAATCATAACTCGTATAAGGATGGGACAAGAAGCAGAGGGCATTATAATACAGCTAAATTCTCAGCCAACATAATAGAAGGTAAATAATGTCTGAAATTAATAGNTGTTCAGCATCTTAGCTGTAGAGGGCAGTGTCACTGGCCCTCATATGTGGGATCCGAACCGGGGTCCTCTGGTGTCCCAAGCCAGTTCTTAACCATCGCACCACTCGGTAGGCCCCATAAATCTACGGTATTCTTGAGAGCTTCCAATTTGATTAGGAGTCAATGAGAACTGAGCCCTCTGCTTAAATTTTACAACAGACTAGGTTGTTTCAGTGCCAGAATTCTATCTTCACTGGCCTTTTGGATCTGCGCCTTGATGTCATGACCCAAGATAGTGGTCATGGAAGCCATTCCAACAGGATTTCTAGCAGTAACTTAATCATACATATAAATAGATACCACTAAATCCAACTGTGTGTTTCCCCAACTCACGTTTCGCTTAGCTTGTGGTCACTGTAGCACCACCTTAAATGAAGGGGAGCTTAAGTGGAAAGTGAAAGTGACCTTAACCAATGGTAATTAAAATATTTTCTGCAAGTTTTGTGGAAACATGACCAGGTAAACTGTACCAGCACACTCCTGGGGAGTAAAAAAAAATGTGATAAAGGGCATAAAGCACTGAGCCTGGCAAGGAATAAACACTCAAGAATTATCAGTGAGGGTATTAACAAAAGTCAACTTGCTGGTACTGAAACTGGTAGAGACATTGGTACCCCAGTAAAGAAGTTGGATTCTGAAATATTGTATCTCACACTGTAACGTACAGTGCTATGTTAGAACTGTGGTTTCTCTAGTTCTGTGTAGTTTGGTTCTTAACGTCATGAAAAATTTTTTCTCAAGTATTTTATAAAGTGTATCTACATAAATTAGCTTTTGTAATTGTCACAGCAAGTGAAGTTGTTAGTACTGTATTAACACTCACAAAGGAGGAAACCAAGAGGTTAGCTGTCCTAGTTGCCAAGGAGTATGTTCCCACCTTTATCTAATCATTTTGACCTAAGTTCAAGCTCTCTTCCCACCACCCCAGGGTGTTTCAGAGGGAGAAACCTTGCCCATCTTTTCCTCGTGGCCAAAATACTAGCGGGAGAAATACGAGTCAAGTCGCAGGGAAACAGGAAGACTTAAGTCTCCATCTTGCCTGTCACCAGCTTGTATTAGGGAGGGAAGAAAAAGAAACCCATCTAGCCTTTCTGAATCCCCAGTGTTCTGTGAGTAGATGTGAAGCACGACCTGCCAGGTACCGGAACACGCAGAAACGAGTGTTCGACCCAAGAGGAAAGTACCGGCTTCCAGCACCACGCTGCTACGCCCCGCGCACGCCCCGGGGGCCAATCAGAGCCAAGGGGGCGTATCCAGGCCCGCCTTCCCACCGCGGTAGCCTCAAGCCGGGAAACAGGGCGCCCTGTGACCCGGAAGTGGTTCTGGAGGAGGCGGACCTGAGAGGGTGGAGCTTGTGACGCTCACGCCTCGGGCTCCGGCTCTTTCCTAACTCCGCTGGCTGCGCCTCCTGCGGGAAAGGTGTGACTGAGTCTGAGGGAACCGCACCAATGGCTTCCGTGCTGTCCTACGAAAGCCTGGTCCACGCTGTGGCCGGAGCCGTGGTGAGGCGGGGTCTTCACGCCCGGGCCCTGCGGGGTGTGGGGTTTCTCTGGGGTCAAGTCCCGGGATGTGGCTGGGGGATGGGGATGAGAGGGAAATCCTGTTGGTTGGGGATCTCCTGTTGTGACTGTGGGACGGAGAGGAATGGGGCATAGGCAAGAATTTGCTGGAAGAATTTGGGGTAAGGGCCGGCACTCATCCTCCGCCCCGGCCACCGCTTTGGCCTGTTAGAGAATATCTGGAATACAGACATCGGGTGGTCCCACATACCACAGGAAGTCGGGCGGAAGGTAATTGCTGTTTTCTTTGCCTTCTGAAATTTAAAGGCCAGTCTTCCTCCTACCCCACGCCCACCGCACACACCGACCTCCTCTCACTGGTCCTGCTGTGTTGCTTAATCACATGCTCAACTACAACCTGTTTTCACACACTTGCTGCAGGCAAGTGGAAGTGCCCACCTGGTAGGATATCCCTGGCCAATATAATTGGTAGAAGATACATCTTTTTAAATTTTTAATCAGGGTCAGAGTTACTGTCTGCCACAGGTGTGGTTTACTGCGAGGAAGGTGTTTGGTTCTTGGGCTTCTGGATGTCACAGTTCCATTTGATGCTCCTACCTTTTCCCTGAAACTTTCCGCTCTTGGCTTGGATATCTTCCTCTTCCTATTCTCACCTTATTTCTCTGACTGCCCTTTCTTATATCGATATCTTCCTTAGCTGTCAACATGCACCTGTAGCATTTGGAATCACTGTGACTTCAGAGGAACAGCACTGATCTCTCTTAGCCCCCCAAAACTCACTGAAAGCTCTAGTTCTGTACAGACTAATCGGGGCTGAACCCCAACGCCATTATTTGTAGATAGGTGGCCTGGAAACCTCACTTTCCTAATCTCTAAAGTGGGGTATTGATACCTACTTCACAGAGATATGAGAATTAGGTGACACAGTAGTTCATGGAAGTGCCTGATTCAGGAGTCTTGGTTCATTCATTAAACCAGAAGAACCTTTCAGCCAGAGTAAAGATGCTGAGTTGAAAGCTTGCTTGACATGCTCTAAGATGGGCATGGAGGCCTGTGATATTGGAGTGTGGGGGACAAAGAGGCAGATAGGTTGCAGAGGACCAAATTGTGAGACTTGAACTCTGAGTGGGAAAGAGCTAGCTACCTAGCTAGCTATTGGAGGTTTAGAGCATACAGCAGCTTGCTGATTCACATTTTACACGTGATCACCCTGGCTGCTCTGTCGAGAATAGACTGTAAGGGAGCAAGAGTGGAAGTAGGGAAACTGTCAGGGAGCTGTTATATCATCTCAGGCAAGAGCCGTTGGTGGCTTGGACCAGGATGGTAGCAGTGAAGGTGGTAAGAAGTGATCATTAACCTGGAATATATTTATAAGATAGAGGCACCACGGTTTGATGGTGGATTGTATATGGGGTGTAACAGAATGAGGGTTGGTTGACTCCCAAGAGTTTCTGGCTTGGGTAACTGGAAGGGTAATACTCCCGTTTACTGAGATGATGAAGACTGTGAAGGAGCAGGTTTCGGGGGGAAAGATGAGTTTGGTTTTGGACTAGTTAGGTTTGAAATGCCTAAGAGTAGATGAGCTCACCAAGAAAATGAGTGTGGACTGAGAGAAAAGTCTGAGACTGAGCCTTGGAGCACACCAACATTAAGAGGTCAGGGAGATGAGATAGCACCCACAGAGGAGACTAAGGAAAGGCCAGTAGGGTACGAGGAAAACTAAGAGAATATGGTGTTCTGAAAGTCACATGGAGAAGGATGTAGACCCAATTGTGTCAGATGCTACTGATGGATAAAATAAGATGAGGACTGAGAATTAACTTGGATTTATGAACATGAAAAATCCAATGGTTAATTGCAAAGAACCATTTTGATGGAGNATATATATATATATATATATATATAGTAATACCTTGGTTTGCGAGCATAATTCGTTCCAGAAACAAACTACTCATATTGCAAGTCATTGCTCGTTTACCACGTTAAAATGTATTAGAAATGTTTGCTCGTCTTGCAGAACACTCGCAAACCATGTTACTCGCAATCCAAGGTTTTACTGTATATATATGTAGTTCCCTTCCCCCTTTTATGAAAAAAAGTGCTTCTCATTTTGTTTGCCTCATGTTTCTTCATGATTAGATTGACGCTGTACATCCTGTGTCAGAATAATGCACAGGCGACACTGTCCTCAGAATGTCACATCTGGTGTCACATAGTGTCCACCTGCCCTTCATTGGTTAATTATGATCTCTTATATTCGAGTTAGCCACTGAAAAGTTTTGTTTTTCCTCTGTTGCAACTATAAGCAGTCTATGAGGAGTTATTTCTGGTTCCTGTGCCCTTATAACATGCCCATGTCACTTTTTTTTGCACTTATTTTCCATATTTACTTCATTGTAAATGTTCTTGCCCTGTCATAAAATGTGAATGATGCTGTATTAACTAACAGCCATGAGGAAATTGTCTCTAATTTTACACAGTAATTTACTAAAGGAGGGAAAGCAGTAAATCAGCCATTGTTTCTTTGGTATCATTAGTGCTGGAAACAATTTCCTGGTTTGGGCATCCTTCAGAATGTAAGATGTGTGAGCAGTTCGGGATGCAGCGAAGTGTAGGACTGAACTTTGAGAATATGCGAATGACGAGCAGTCTGTCCTGGGACTTTGCCCATTTCTAGTGGCTTTTGACCAGCATTTTTACTTTGCTTATTGTGTTTCTCCCCTAGGCTGGCCCCATATCGAGGGTGGTTTCCAGTTATCTCCAGTCTCTGTTGCTCCAACTTTGTCTACTTCTACACTTTTAATAGCCTCAAAGCCACCTGGGTCAAAGGTCAGCATTCTACTACTGGGAAGGACCTGGTAGTTGGATTTGTTGCAGGTAACAAAGCTTTCTGAGTAGAAAATGTTTTTATTTTTACCATTTATCCTGTGGTCCATATATACTCTAGAGGATGTTTTAGCACAAAGTTATACTACAAAGAATGTAATTTAGTTTTCTGACTTGGGTGTGTGTGTGTGTGTGTGTGTGTGTGTGTGTGTGTGTGTGTGTAAAAATACATAACATAGGGCCGGCCGAGTGGCGCATTGGTTGAGTTGGCTTGGGACACCAGCTCTGAGCAGCAGGGCCCTGGTTCGGATCGTGTGTGTGTGTGTGTGTGTGTGTGTGTGTGTGTGTAAAAACACATAACATAGGGCCGGCCGAGTGGCGCGTTGGTTGAGTTGGCTTGGGACACCAGCTCTGAGCAGCAGGGCCCTGGTTCGGATCCCACGTGACGGCCAGTGACGCTCCGCCCTCTACAGCTAAGATGGTGAACAACAGCTCGACCTGGAGCTGGGCTGCTGTGAATTGCTGGCAATAGCGTAGGCTTCAGTGGAGCTGCAGTGGTCTACTATAAAAAGCTACCCTGAGTGGCTGGCAGCCGGAGTGAGCTGCCAAGGGCCGCCGTGAGCAGCCATCCAGGGCCTGGCGACCGATCTGCCTTACCCGGGAAAAGCGCAATGATAATACCAACATGGGCCAGTGAAGCGATGTCCTCCACAACTATACTGAAGAACAAAAGGACAGCAACTTGTCTGTTCCCTTTCCCCGATTCCCCAACGCCGTTCCCCTCCCCCAATTCCCCAATAAAATCTTTTTTTAAAGAAAAGCACATATATAAACATAAAATTTACCATCTTAACAATTTTTAAGTGTACACTTTAGTAGTATGTTTATTCATGTTGGTGTGAAACAGAACTCCAGAACATTTCATCTTACAAATGTGAAACTATACCCATTAAAGAACAACTCCGCTTTCTCCCTTCCCCTAACCCCTGGTAACCACCATTCTATGTCCTGTTTTTGTGAATATGACTACTCTAGAAGCCTCATAAAAGTGGAATCATGCAATATGTGTGTCATTGTGGCTGACTTATTTCACTGAGCATAACGTCTTCAAAGTTCATCCATGCTGTAGGATATAACAGGATTTCCTTCCTTTTTAAGGGTGCATAACATTCCATTGTATGTATAGACCACAAGTTGTTTATCAGTTTATCTACAGATGGATATTTAGGTTGTTTCCATCTCTTGGCTACTGTGAATAATGCTACTATGAACAAGGTGTGCAAATATCTCATTGAGTCCCTGCTTTCAATTCCTTTGGATATATACCCAGAAGTGAGATTGCTGGATCATACGATATTTCTGTGTTTAATTTTGTGAGGAAGCAGCATACTGGGTTTCAGTTTCTCTGCATCCTTTCCAACACTTGTTATTTTTCTGGATTTTTTTTTGGTAGGAGCAATCCTAATGAATGTGAGGTGATGTTTCACTGTGGTTTTGATTTGTGTTTCTCTGATGAATAACGATGTTAAGCATCTTTTCATATGCTTGTTGGCCATTTGTATGAGGTGTGATCATAAAATACAGTAAATGTTTAAATAAAAAACTTATAGGGGACGGCCAAGTGGCTCAGTTGGTTAAGAGTTAGCTTAAGGGCCGGCTGAGTGGCTCAGTTGGTTAAGAGCTCGCTCAAGAGTTTGAGCTCTGAGCAACAGCGGTTCGAGTCAGCCCGAGCTGAGCAGCNGCAAATTTAATGTCTGTAGGTCTGCGGTCAGAAGTCGCATGCAGGTGTCTGAGCTCAAGTGAAGGTGTGGGCAGGGCTGTGTTCCTCTCTGCAGGCGCTAGGGGAGAACTGTTTCCTTGCCTTTTCCAGCTGCTACAGGCCACCCATACTCCTTGGCTGGTGGCCCCTTCGTCCGTGTTCAAACCAGCAATGACGAATTGAGTCCTCACGTTGCCTTGCTCTCACCCACTCTTCTGCCTCACTCTTCTACTTTTCAAGGACCCATATGATCACATTGTACCCACTCAGATAATCTAGAATGATCTCTTTATTTACTTTTTAAATTACAGTTGACTTACAGTAATCTCTTTAAGGTCAGTGATTAGCAACCTGCCGTGTGATGTCACATGTTCACAGGTACTGCGGGTTAGGACATGGGTGTCTCTTAGAGGTCCGTAATTCTGCCTACCACGCCTGTCTGCTGTGGGTTTTGGTCTGTGATTTCTTGTTTCAAAACAGCCTTATTCTGCAATCCTTTTCTGGTCCACCAATCTGACCTACTCTTTGTTTTTTTTTATGCTATGCTTTTATATACAAATCTTTTCTGTCATTATTAGTGATTGGAATGGGGAGGAGGCAATGGTGGGTTGTCAGTTCACCATCTTGATCAGTCTTTCCAGTACTAATAACTTAAAAAGCGTTACTTAGTTTTACTGGTTTGAGTTATTTACGCTAGTCCTTGAGGAGATAATAGACCTTTGAGTTGTTTGGGCTGCCTGTTCTCTTTATCTTGATCTAAGATGTACATCGCTTTTAGAATTCAAGGTAGGTTGGCAGTGGCTTCTTCAAAGTTAGGAACCTCTGGTGTCCGTTTAAAGCTGGCAGGGAAGAGGGATGGAGGTGGCCCAGTTGTTTGCAAAAGTAGTTTCCAGGGAGGACTTTTCTGTCTGGAGATTCCCTGTCTATGCAATACCTGACATAGACATGTAGCACCATGTGACAGGAAGTAAATGCCACAGCCTTGGTAACCTTAATCAGCGTCCCCCAGTTTTCCAGCCCCCACTTTTCTTGGCAATTGCCTGTTAGGTGAGCAAGGGTGCCAAAACATAGATTTGTAGACTTTAAACCTTTGTAGGTCCACTGTTTCTTGAGACTTACCTATTATCTAGTCCTTACTAGAAAAGAACATTCATGTTGGAGTCATCAGAAAAGCATAAATAACTGAGAGTCGAGTGAATTTAATAAACAATTATTAAGAACCTGTTATATACAAAGAGAATGAATATTTTTAGTATGATGGGAGAGTTAGATTTCACTGTAATTTTCACTGTCGTGTAAGTTCTGTAAGAGACATAAACAAGGGCTGTGGGAAATAAAGAAATAAACGACCAGTGGTACCCTGGTGGGCACGGGGTGCTAACATTTAATCTGTGTTGTGGAGAATATTAACAGAACGATACAGTGTTCTCTCTGTCAGGCAGGCTGACCTATTTAAATAGATAAGAGACCTGGCAAAAGTTTGTTCTTACTTAGGAAGTTAACCTAGTTTCCAGTTGTCATCATGATTAAAATATTGTACGTAATCATTATTAGATCAGTAGCCTAAAACTTGATCTTATACCTGAGAATATACACAGGCAGTGGGGCCTGCATCTGGGTTAAGAACCATAAACCCAATTAGAGATTTCATGTGTATGATTTTATCACTAACTATATGCTTGTGGTTTTTATCTGTCATAGGGTCTTATGAATGGAAAGACTGGTTGTTTGTTTCTTTTTTTTTCCGGTAATTTTTGTCATTGTGTGACCTTGGATGAATTATTTACAGAATTTTGAGAACAGAGATTGCGCCTATTTGATTTAAAACACAGCAAACGAAACTTTTTCAAAGAACAATGTGATTTTTTTTTAATTGGGGTATTGGGAGAGGGGAACAGTGTTGGGGAGTTGGGCAGGGGTGGGGGGAATGGGGGAGATGGGAGACGGGACCAGCCAAGTTGTTGTTCTTCAGTCTTAGTTGTGGAGGGCGCCACTCACCATCTGGCTGCCTGTCAGCAGCTCGTGGCCTCGAAGCTCAAGGTGCTGTGTTACAATCTTAGTTACGGGTGAGCATAGCCACCATCCCATGTGGGAGTCAAACCAGCAGCCTTGTTGTTAAGAGCGCATGCTCTATCCACTGAGCCATCCGGGTGGCAGCTTAGCTCAAGGTGCTGAGTTTAGTCTTAGTTGCGGGTGGGCATAGCCCACCACTGAACAGGCAGTCTTGTTAGGAGCATGTGCTCTCATCAGCTGAGCCATCCTGCCACCTGTTGACAGCTCAGTGGCAGCTCAGCTTGGGTGCAGCATCACTGGCCCATGTGGGAATCAAGCCTGCGGCCCTGTTGCTCAGAGCTTGCGCTCTTAAGCTAACTCTTAACCAACTGAGCCACTTGGCCGGCCCAAGAACAATAGTATTCTTACACTTCTTTTACTTTGTAGTGAATATATTGATTAAGCACAGAGAATAGAAGTATATATTTGTTTGATAACTGTATGTTTTGATTTCAGAGCATAAGAACAGCAACTGGCCTGTGAAAGGTTAAAAATGGATTTACCGGCTATCTTTCACATGTGTCCTAGGCTGCAAACCCCAAAGATTGTAATGTCCAGGGACCCACTACATTTTTTTTTTCACTATCAGAGAGATAGAAAGATATTTCTTCTGGGAAATTTAACACTTCTGTTTAAATATATTACTATAGAAGTTTGAACAATAATCCCAATAGGTTAAAATATTGTATGTATTTGTTCACTGAAAATCTGATTTGACCCATTGTTAATAGTGGACTTTTGTTCACTATAAAGTTGTGGCTCATTATCTTGTGATACTGTAATGACTAAAGGCTTCTCAAACTTTTCAGGGAAGTGTCACAGCGATGACCGTGTTTTTTCCCTTGGATACAGCTCGACTTCGACTTCAAGGTGAGTGTCTTTTCTACTCATATTCCTGTTCATTTGTGTCAGGAAGCAAACGCATTTCTCTAGTAAGCTCTAAATTACCAGAGGGTCTTCTGTTTCATTAGAGATGTGTTGTCCATTTTCACTGACTAAATGCTCGTCATCACTGCTATTTCCTAATTAACAGAGAGGCGTTCATGGATGAATCATAGCATCAGCCATTTTCCAATCTGAAATGACCTGATGAGCTTGCATTAATAATTTTGAATCACTACAATTCTTTCCAATAAATAAAATGACTTTTTAAAGGCACAATGTGCAGAGTTTTTGCTGAGGGTTGATTTTATCAAAAGAGGAGAGAAAATAGGGAACATAGTGCAGTCAAATACCTGCTGTCATAGCTAATCTGAGCATGCAGTCCCAGCTCTTCTCTTGTGCTTTATAGGCCTGTGCAGCTCTTTATGATTCCTGTTTGTTTGTTTTTCTCAGTATTTTTCAGCTTGACATTATAGACCTATGCCAGAACTTACATGAAGAGATAAGAGTCAGATGAGCTTTGAAAAAACTAATTCCTATGTTAAAACCCTTCATAACTACCATTTTAAATTAATTTCAGAGGTTTTTGGGTAGATAATAATTTCATATGACTCAAAAATGAAAATATATAAAAAGATGTACAGTACAGTGAAAAATCTCACTCTGGTCTGCCCTTTTCCCTTTTTCTCCCCTGCACATAATGTCTTTATTAGTCTCTCAAGTAGCCTTGCAGTTTCTTTATGAAGTAACAAGCAAATAGGAATATGTATTCATTTTTCCCTTACTTACACAAAAAACATACTTTCACATTGTTCTGCACCTTGCATTTTTTTGCCTAACAGCATATTATGGATGCTTTGCAAATCCAAGCATTTGGGAGCTTTTTCATCCTTTCTTCTAAAGCTAGCGAGGGTTCGATGGTGTGGATGCACCATAATGGTTTACCGTTTCCTGTTGTAGATTCTCAGGTTGTTTCTTCTCTTTTATAGAATAGATGTGTTCATATGCTACTTTGTTTCTATAACTTCTATGGCATAAATTCCTGGAAGTGGGATTGGAGGATTAAAGGGTAAATGTGTTTGTAATTTTGATAGTTATTGTCAAATTTCCTTCTCTATGGGTTTCCTAACTTGCCATCCTGTGAGCCATACAGGTACCAATTTTAACTTTTTTTTTTTAAAGATTTTTTTTTATTGGGGAATTGGGGGATGGGAACAGTGCTGGGGAATTGGGGGAAGGGGAACAGACAAGTTGCTGTCGTTTTGTTCTTCAGTCTANGATTCATAACGCAGGAGATGGAAACCACCCTTCCCTCCTCCCGTATAATCACTGTTAAGAATTTCACGTTTAATTTTCCCATATTTTTGTGTGTTTGTGTTATGTACACTTTTATGAGTGGAAGAAAGAATGAAAGTTAAAAGTCATTTATGTCTTGATTGAAAAAGGGTTGAGAACTGAGGTAGAACAGTGAACAGTAGAACTAAGCGTCAGAAAGATCCTGGTTCATCTCCAAGCCACCTCTGCCGCTCCAGCTTCGGGCCAACCTCATAACTCCCCTGGCGGGACTCCTCAGTGCTCAGGTGAACGGACTCACTCCTCTGCTAGATGACCTGTAAAGGCTTTTCCAGCTCTGGGTGCCAATGAAGTGTAGGAATTAATTTGTTTTACCAATACTTAATGGTTAAATGCCAGAGGAAGATGGTACAATGTGACTAAAAAATGTTTGTTTTGGGTGATACAAGGTTTTTTCTCTGGAAATGGAGTCTTGTAAATTGTAATTGTTGGCAATAGAACTCCCACTCAGATGACTAGAATTCTGTGGGACTCAAAACAATGGATTTATTTTTATGCCTCTCTGGCACAACAGTGTTGCACATTGTGGTTATTTTTTTGGTACTTTGTGCCTTCGAATTTTACATAAGTCCTAGAGAAAGAAAAACAGAACAAACACTTGAGTATTTATGAAAAGAGAAATTTAATTCAAATTCTGAAAAATGTGCTTTGTTTGGCATAAGATGCGCATATGTAATATTTTCCTTCAGGTAAGAGCTGCTTATGAGAAGTCAGCTGTGTGTTTGCTTGGCAAAAAGACAAATATAGCAAGTCCCCAGTGTACAGAATAGCTATGTTCCAAATTTACTTTTAGCCTTTGGAATACATTTTCTCATGGATATTAAGTTTATTTGTAGGTGCATACAGTCATACATAAATTAACAAATTCAGAGCTTATGCTATGCCAGACTCTATCCTGGGTTTTTAGACTCGTCCACAAAAAAATATTTGAAGGCCGGCCGAGTGGTGCGTTGGTTAAGAGTTGGCTTGGGACACCAGCTCTGAGCAGCAGGGCCCTGGTTCGGATCCCACATGAGGGCCAGTGACACTGCCTTGTACAGCTAAGATGGTGAACAACAGCTCAATCTGGAGCTGGGCAACTGTGAGTCGCCGGCAATGGCATAGGTTGCAGCCCCTGCTGCAGGGACTGCCATAAGCTACTGTGAGCGGCTGGCAGCCTGCGTGAGTGGCCAGCAGCCGGTGTGAGCTGCCAAGAGCGGCCATTCAGAGGCTGGCAACCAATCTGCCTCACCCAGGAAGAGCGCAATGATAATACCAACATGGGCCAGTGAAGCGGCGGCCTCCACAACTAGACTGAAGAAAAAAAAGACTGCAACTGGTCTGTTCCCCTTCCCCAATTCCCCAATAATAAAATCTTAAAAAAAATATATATATATATATATATATGTGTGTGTATATATATATATATATGAAACAAAATAGGCCCTATATTAGTACCTTTTAATTTTTTTACTAGTTTTTGTTTTAGTAATGTTTTTAAAGTTTTAATTACAAGAGTGGTTAAGAGTGTGGACTTTGGAGCTAGGCTGCCTGTGTTCAATTACTGATCTACCACCAAAGTGTATGACATTAGAAAAGTTGCAAAACTTGTTCGTATCTGTTTCCTCATCTCTAAAATGGAGAGAATAATGGTACTTAACTCATCAAATTATTGTAAAGATTAAATGCTTTTGAAAAAAAATGTAGGTGTAATTCACGTAACATAAAATTAACCATTTTAAAGGGTACAATTCAGTGGTACTTAGTACATTCACAATGTCATGTACCCACCGCCTCTTCATCTCATTCCAAAAATTTCTGAATGGATAAACATAATGTATATACGCACAATGGAATATTGCTCAGCCACAAAAAGTAATGTGTGTGTTTTCTTTAGATAGAGTAAAACTGGTAAGGTTTTCATTTATTCTCCAGTCCACACCCCTTCCCCTGCCAGGGACTGTGGTGAAAAGGTGGCCATGGGCCCCAGCACAGTGTGGCAGTGGTTAGCTTTTTGGTGTGGAGTTTCCTGTTTGGACTGAGTATGCCTGGTCATCTGAGGCCAGCCCAGGTTCCCCTGTTCCCGGGGACAGGACTGCCTGGCTGTGACTGCCATGGCACCTAGCTGTCAAACAGAGAGTTGCCCCGGAGCTCCCTCCAGCTTCTTGGTACTTGTCCCCATCNAAACAAGCCGAGATTATGGCTGAGTGAGACAGAGGGCTAGTGGTTTCTTAGATATAACACCAAATGCACAAGTAATACAATAAAAAGTATGTAAATTGGATTTCCTCCAAATTAAAAACATTGTACTTCAAAGACATTTTCAAGAAAGTGAGGACAACAGAATGGGAGAACATGTTTGTAAATCATTTCTGATAAAGGTCTGGTACCTAGAATATACAAAGAATGCTTACAATTCAATAATAGAAAGGCAAATAAGCAAGTTTTAAAAATGGACAAAGGATTTGAATAGATATTTCTCCAGTGAAGATATACAAGTAGCCTATAAATATATGAAAAGATGCTTGACAGCATTAGTCATAAAAGAAATGCAAAACAAAACTACAGTGAGATACCACTTCACATCTACTAGGATGGCTATATCAAAAAGACAGATAACAAGTGTTGCAAGGATGTGGAGAAATTGGAACCCTCATATTTTGCTGTGGGAATATAAAATTTGCAGCCACTGGAAAACAGCTTGTTAGTTCCTCAAAATGTTAAACATACAGTTCCCATATGACCCGGCAATTCCACTCCGAGAGAATTGGAAACATATATCCCCACAAAAACTTGTACACAAATGTTCATAGTGGCATTATTCATAAAGCCAAAAAGTATAAACAACCCAAGTCCATCAACTGATGAAAGGATAAACAAAATGGTGTATCCAATAGAATTTTTTTCAACCATAATACAGAATGAAATTCTGATTCAACAATCAGATGAGCCTTGAAAGAAGCTATTCACAAGAGATCATGTATTTGATTCCACGTATATGAAATGTCCAGAATAGGCAAGGAACATAAAATAGATTAGTGGTTACCAAGGTGTGGGAGTAGAGAATGGAAAGTGACTGCTAGTGGGTATGGGTTTCCTTTTGGGGTGATAAAAATGTTCTGGAATTAAATAGTGGTGATAAATGTACAACTTTGGAAATATTACAAACCTCTGAGTTGTAAAGAAAAGATAAACTTTTCAGATAAAGCTAAAATGCCTAGAGGAAAATGAGTAGTCTTTAAATCAATTTGGAAAAGAAGGAAGACTTAAAAGTAATGAACTAATCCATCTCAAGAAGTTAGATAAGAATATCAACAAAAAAAACCAAAGAAAGGAAAAAAAGGTAATAAAAGAAAGTAATGAAATAGAAAATATAAACAAAAATGTCCTGGCAGGTAGTATGTTTTCATCATTATTTGTTGAGGATGAAAATTTGATTATGAAAATAAAGAAAATTTATATTAACATATTCTTGGTAAAATAGTGATCCTACCTATCCCTAACAAAATCTGTTAAATCATGGTACTATTATTGTCTTAAAGGTAAGGAAGTATGCTGTGTTCTAACACTTCCAAATCTGCATATTTATTCCAGAATCTCCAGAACTCCAGACTGATATCTGGCTACCTTCTGGCCATCTTCAGTTAGAAGTCTTT